TTCTTTACACCAGAGATGAAAAAGACAGAATGAGACTCTTCGTAAATGCATGTTAATGAAGGAATTTTCATTTTACTCTTAAGGAAGACTAGGATAAGACAGGGCTGAAGGGCTGATGAGATTTGAATTGGATCAATGGCCAACAGCCCGTACTGAATCAGTGATACAGTACATATAAATTTCTCGGGGAAACAAATCGGTGCTGAGTCTTGAAGTTCTCAATTTAAGTCTCAAGAGGTTTTTGGTCTTACCATGGTTAGGTGAATAATTAGACGTTGTTTTTTCAAGTTTTGGGGTGTGGCTCATTTACGCATTGTGATCGGTGAAAATGGGTCATGTGGTACAAAATACTGCTCTGTGATTGGTTATAAGCCATACTACTGACATATACTACTAACACTTGTGTAGATGTTCCTATTGACGCCTAGGCGGTCACTACAGGAAGGCCTAATTAATTGCATATGCGGAAGTTAACACAAGAGGTTGTTCATGTCGCTGTACTTATAAAGTAATTTTGAAATATAAGCTATTGTCTTAATTTCTCATTGATATAAATTCGCTAAATGCTTGAGAAATTAAAACGAATTGCATCTTAAAAGGTCATCCACTAGGAAAATTAGCCACGACTGCACATATTACCCATAATTTCTCACTTTATTTTTCAAGATAACTGTTCGCAAATACCAACACCTTTCATAAAAATGAAGTACAACCGTGAACTAAACATAAATGCCCTTATTTCCGCGTTTTATTTTTTGCCACGAAATTCTCAATATTGAAAAACCTACACCATTGAGTAATGATCCTGAATTTAGCCATAGCATGTAAGTTATATCACTTTGCAGGTTTGATGACAGTAATCTGACCAATGTGACGTCGATTGGAGAAATTGTTATTGCGCGTACCCATGTAACAGTACTCCCCAGGCTTCGTAATGCGGAAGCACGGTGGGTTGCAGGAGGCTGGGGCATTATTGAGTTGAGAATCCAGTGGTTTGTCACGGACTAAACACCCCCTGTTGAGGTGAAGATTCAAAGTGTAGCTGTCAAATCTTTCAACGTATTCAACAACGTCAAAGGGGAGCCTGGAACAAGATTTCGGCGCCAGAGTTTTGCACCCTTCCTTAATCCAACACACGTTTGTGCGATCCGTTCCTAGGAAAAGAAAACGCAAAGTTTTGAGTAAACTGCGTCCATTTTTTCTCATCCAGGATCATGGCAGTAACATAAGCGTGATCTGGCCATTATTTTATGTTACTGAGAATAATTGTGATAGATATGTCTACCAATTTCTTACCAGCTGTTCCTTGTCCATCATAGTGCTGAGGATTGTTGTTAGAACCTTAAGAACCAAAAGAAATAGCAAAAATTAATTTTTGATGCAATTTTGGTACAACATGATATGCATGTGTCTGTACAATAAGAGTTTATAAATTAATGGGATGAGGATTGAGGAAATTGTGAAACAAAAGGATACAACGACAGTCGAAAATTTCTCTTTCAGCTACAGCTAATTTTTGCAGAAAAAGTTTTAATTCAACATGCTAAATAAAGGTTTTTCTTCATACCAGACCAGACGAAACACACAATTTCCTCTGTTGTGACAGTGATGCGTTCAGGAAAAAAACGATATTCCATGGCAGGATAGGTCTGTACAATGTTTCCTCTTTTTCCAATCCCCCCGATGTAACGAATGGTGCGATTCTGATGTTCCGGTTGCATTATGTTTCGCGGTTTAAGGAGGATCACATGACTTCTGTCTTGGAAGGTTCTCCCGACTTGTGCGGTATTCAAGGCCAGTTGTAGCTCTGTTTTATCAACGGATTTTGTTTTCGGGTTATTTTCGAGTCTGCAAATACAAAATCAACCGTCACGCAATGTTCTAAGCGCTGCTCTAAAATGTGTAAAGGCTAAAATTTGGAATTATTTAGGAGCTATTCTTCTTTACTTAGCCAAGTAGTACCTTCCATTCTAAACTGGTTCACGGGTCCCTTTTTAACTTGTGCTGTTAACTTAATGTAGATTTCCGTGTGTTGATTCTGACATTAGCTTGCCAAATTTGCAGCATGTTTCGAACACTTTTTTCTAAAGTCCTTAGTAAATCAAGAAATAAGAGCGCAAGATATCGACACCTACTTGTAATTATGAGAAGCATTGAATTCCCTTGGTACGTCATCAGTGGTGATGTTGTATCTAGGAAAACATAGATATATGTATATCAATCATTCACTGAACTGGGGGTAATAAACACTACTTGCACCGACACTGAGGTGAAAAATTGTTTTAGTATATATACCACACAGGAACCAAAAAAAATCAGTTTTTTTCTGTCAATATACCAAAAAACGGTCGGAAATTGAATTGCTGACAGGGTATTTTGTCTCTTCGGCTGCTCGAAGATGATTAGCGCTGTACTTGCTAAAAACTTCCAAAACCAGCCAATCGGCACGCACGTAAACCACTATTCACCTCTGTGGTCTATACAATTTGATAACATTTGAAGACAGTACAAACTGATGTAGCTTTTGGAAATTTATTCAGTCCTGTCACCAACTTGCTTAAGAATTTGAATTCGTGGAGGAGTTAATAGAATGTGATTATCCATTGAAAGTAGGATGCTAAATATCAAACTTTTATAAAACATACATTTGATCTTTCTCACCTTATCCGTATAACACAACGCTGTGTTGTGTTGGATGGGAAGCAAGGGACCTTCCATTTGTAAGAGGAAAATTTGCCTTCCATGTTGATTCCATTGTGGTTGACGGCGGTAGATGGGGCGTAGATCACTTCAGGAGGTCTCTCGAGAAGAACAAACTGTTTCTTGTTATCACATCCTTGTGATATCTTGTGTGCTTCGTAGGGCACGCCTTTTGCCAGCTTCATGTCACCCACACCTTTACAAGTGCTCAATACTCCGGCAGTCCTCTCCAAGTAATTTGTGATGAACCCTGTCCAAGTTCCTTTGGCCGCTATACACCTGTCCCTGGTGATGTATTTGGCGACACATTTTTCAGCAACAACACCTTGGTTGTCTGGGGGGCAGTCAGTTTGATCTTTTAGCCCTTTTGGCATGATGCACATATCTAAAAAGGAAAGTGAGAAATAAGTATCAGAGGAATAGAAACGATCATGATCGAGTATTGCTGGTTATATGCCTTACATTTGAGCCCATAATTGGAACTATTAACATATCTCTTCATCAGCTCCTCAGTCTTTCCATCGCTGACAAGGATAGCAATATCCTTCCATGGTGTGGGTCCCCAGTATGGATAGTAATCGCGTTCTTCAGGGACCTCCATGCCCCTTATGGTACCTTGACTATTCTGCCGCGTGTAAATTGGTAAATCGCCAGCAAGCTGCTGGTCAGCGGTGAACAAACCTGTAAAGGATAAAAATATTCTCTTTTAAAGGACAGATAGATTCCTGGTAAAACACAATTTATTTCACGCAGATTTGGTGTTTTGACATACAAATTGTCTAATTGTTCGATGTCTTTATACTTTTCTGATTTGTAAGATGGTTGCCACAGTAACGGTTCCCTTTGGGTAAAGAGAGGCTCAGAGAGGAGGAGAGAGAGAAACGGCAATCTTACCTTGTAAGATGGTTGCCACAGTAACTGTTCCCTTTGGGTGAAGACCTCATAATTACTAAACTAAAATTGATAGATAGAGGCACAGAGAGAAGAAGAGAGATAGACAGCAATCTTACCTTGTAAGATGGTTGCCACAGTAACTGTTCCCTTTGGGTAAAGACCTCATAAATTCTAAACTAAGATTGATAGATAGAGGTACAGAGAGAAGGAGAGAGAGAGATAAACAGCAATCATACCTTTATTTCTATATCTGCGATAGTAAGCCTGATAATAGTTGTACGGCTCATGAAGTCCGTTATGTTTCGAAATTTGATTTGACTCTTGAGTCTGATCAGCAAATGTGTTAGACGTGGATGTTTGACCATTTCGAATGGTGTGATATTCGTAGTCGGCATCCACATCACCAGTGGGCATCTCGCCCCCCGGGAACGGCTGGCACATGTACTGTAAGATGACTTGTGTTTCCACCCTGTCGTCAGTCTTTGGTCCTGTTCCATGCTGATTTGTCCACATGATATCCACTTCAGTTTTTGCATGAGAGGAGCATCCGCTCATGTAAAATTCCTCAAAAAAACAAAAAAATTAAAATATACAACTTTGTATGATTTTTTCAACTTTTACCAGATAATTGTAAAATATAGTGCATATGCACATCTAAAAAATGTAATTTGCTTCAGAAGGGTTGGGCACCTTACACACCTAGTGATCCGTTCCATAGGAGTTTCTCGCGGTTTCTGTGGTGTAACTAAGAGTGTTGTTCCCCGATGACAGGGCTTCCCCCCTCGGGCTTTTTACCTTGATTCATCTTCTCCCATATTCTGCACGACACTTTAGTATCATACATGTTACAAACCAAGCTAATAGCACCTAAGGTTTGCCTTGCCTTACCATTGGTTCTTGTCTTTTCTCGTTGATATTATCTCCGGGGTTATCATCATATTTGTCACCCACATTGTATCCGCACTTGTCGTTGTTCTAAAAACAAAGTGAAAAGAGATGAATGTTTTTTTGTCAGAAGTTCTGACTCTACTAAGAAATAAACAGGTTGGGCTGAGTTGAGGTAAAAAATATATTAACCACATTTCTACCTAAAAGGTTTAGACCGCTCTCCCTTAGAAATCCCCAACTTTGAACTTCGGAACTTTAAGAGACAAATTGAATGCGCTCTAACGAGTTGATTAGACCCAAGATTTTTTAAGTTAACTTTCGTGCGCTCCTCCATGAGAAAGCAGATCCATTTACGGTCCAGGGAATTATGAACATAAAACACCTACGACTACTGTTTGAGTAATCAAACGTTAAAGCCTTGAAATTATGAGGACATTTTAAGCTTCTTCTTTTAAGCTATATATGGCGTTCATCCAAGACTAAAACTAAAATGGGAAAGCTCTGTTTAGATTGGTCTCGCGCCAATCACAAAATTTGAAATTTCAGACTAGCGTTATTTCTCCTCTTCAAGGAAGCAATACTCTAATATATCTAAACGTTTGGGCCGAAAAAAGATGTTAATATTTTAGGCTTTTGCAAGTAAATCAAGTCTTGGATAGGGGCGGCCTACCTGTGAATCAAAGAGTCTGGCATTGTTTGCAACGTTTTCACCCGCGCCATTCAAGCGATTATTGGATCCTGGCGGGAAATGCATGTAT